GTCTGCCCCGCCCCCAGCCCACCCTCACCATGGGCTCCACTGTATGATGCCTCCCTGAGTCTCAGTGAGCAAACAGCCTCCATGTCAAAACCCTGGGTCAGATGATATCGTAAAGACCCGTCCCAGAGTGCACATAACATTGGACCAATGCAATTATGTCACAACTTTTTGTAGGACCCCTGCCATTCAGAGGCCCTTGGGATCGTCCCTTTATGGTGCCCCTGGCTATAAGTGTGGCCAATCATAATTCCACCATATAATCCTGACTCATTTGCAGATTCCTTTTGTTTTTTTTTCAGGCTAAGACAGGCCAACTACCAGTTTGTCTTATTTAACCATAGGATGGGGATAATAGGACTGCATAAAGATGTCTTCATAAATGTCTTTAAAGGAGGATAATGTACATGACAAAAAATGCAAAAAGAAAAAAAATCAACAAATGCATCACATTAGTAACATTCATTCGTTGATTTTCTATAACGCTCGTTTATTTCTGGGTCACGGTGTTCCGGAGCGTATCCCGAAAAGAACGGACACAAGGCAAGGAATAACGTGAGACCTAATACAGGGCACTCACACCACTCACATCTACTGACAATTTGGCGACTCCAGTTCACCAGGACGTTTTTGGACGGTGGGGAGGGGAACCGGAGAATCTAGAGGAAACCCCGCGACGGCACGCGATGCACACGACACACACTGAGCCGGGGCGGAGAATCGAACACTGATGTCTTCTTTTCCTTTGCCAACCGCGCTAACCAAAATGCAATTTTGGGGTCTTTAATAAAATCAACGAAGTTCTTGATTTTAACATGACTTGAGCTTACTAAATTTAAAGACGGAATTGCATCAGAGTTTCCAGTCGAAGCCTATCTTAAGTCCCAAACAGTGCATTGGGATCTCCATGCATATAAAAGAGCGCTGCGTTACGTTCGCCCACCCAACAAGCGCCGCCAACGTACAAAATCAAATGTCGCTTCTGTCGATTTGGTGTTTGTTCATCACTAAAGATTTGCGATTGTGCAAATTATAAGAATAGACCTTAAGACCTTCAAATATGTGCAACAATGTGTTTAATTGCGAAGTAGGGTACGGAAAACAGTTTTGTTTTGCCTCAGTGATTTTTTGGCAGGTCGTATAAAACAAAAAATATTGATTCCTAATAAGATTATGTCAAAAAAGGTCAATAAAGGTCAATATAAATTAGAACTAATTATTAAAATGCAATATTCGACGTTAGTTTAAAAAATGATAAAACTCTAATTAAAACTATTGGTCGGCCACTATACAAAGACTAGATGTCGAGAGACATGGCAAATTTCCTAAATAATGTCGTTATCTTTTTTCCTTTGGTACTGAAAAGTGACATTGGGTTTTGCTATTTAGTGTAATGTAACTATAGTAACTTCTCTAGTGCTTCAATCGCGATAACAAAGCCAAAATAGACATTTGATAGATAAAATGTGGTTTATTGTTATAGTAACAACATATTATTACTACTATTATTATTATTGACATATTTCACCATTTCTAAAAAAATACGGATTTCATATGTATTTCCTCTCAGCAGATAGGCATACTATACATACATCAGAAAAAAACCATCAGAAATATTTAATCAAAAATAAAATAAATAGTAAAGTTTTACGAAGCGCACAGTCTTCTTTCGATCTCAAAACTTTATTTGAAATATACTGAGCCATGTTAATGTCTCCATAACGTCACCTCTGCTAATTAATTTTAACAGTTTATTTCTATATCTTAAAACGAATTCCCATTAACTGCATCTACTTCTCGCAAATGAAATTTTTATTGGATGGGATGAATATATAGAAATTGCATAAATGTAAATACGGTTCATGCAATTAAACATTTCATAAATCTCATTATCCAGCATGGTGTTCTAAAAGTATGCCTTTTACGATGTGTAATATGTAGGATTGCACTCCATAACATTTCACCGCAGTCGAGCTGTTCTTGAATTTGTATCGGAAAGAGTAGACGTATGAAATTCCAAAGGAGTTATTATTTTGTCAGTTATTCCGCTAAAAAATTACAGCCGCAAGCCTGTTATAGTAGTCCTTAATTTTAGCGCAGAAAATGTTATATATAATATTTTGTGATGGAAATGAGAAATTTGTGAAATATCGAGACATTTTCAGGCTCTAACTTTTACCCCTCTTCTACAACGGTCACTGAAATACGGAACTGGAAAACATTTGCACACTCCGCTACATCCATGTTTCCTATGAATGCTATAATTCATAAAATAGGCCAGCTATACTTGAATTTAAGGTAATAACTGTTATTATATAGACATGATCATTTAATCCACTCACGGATTATTTTCGGAATCGTTTTAGCGGGAATACTACACACCGATGTTTTTAAGGACCTCAGCTACCTCCCCCCCCCCCCGAAGCACCCACCTCCATCCCACGTGAAATAATCGGTTTCAAAGAAAGTGGAAAGAACGTGCCCCACATCAGTCTATCGTAGCCCAGCGCTCTGTCGGAGATAGGGAGCAGATCTGCCAATCCCGCGTCCTTATAATACTTCCTGTGGTTCAGCAACTCCATCCCCAGATGGAAAAGTGGAATGAACAATCGCAAATGCAATACCTTCTTACTAACAATTTCCTGAAGTCGCCCACTGCGCGGATCTTCTACTGAAATAAGAATAGAATACATTTAAAAGGGAACTTGTTTTTTATGCAATCCTCTTTCTAAACACGGATTAAATCTGGATTCGCGATGTATTTGTGATATAAAGAATGCACCAATTGGCATTTACTATTCAACATTATAACGAAACTACGTAACCTCCCGGAGTCCAGAAGTTCGTACGTCGCTGTGGATTAGCTTGGACTGGATGTATTGGATATGTTTTGGAAAAATGAAGAACTTGCTCCTCTACGAGAGGGACGTAAACCGTTCCCGAAAAGACTTTCTGTAAAACAGGTAATTCTTTCATCATAGTTATTCTATCATCTGATAGTTAAATTTTGGTTGACATATACCGGACCCAATCACCATTTTTTATTTGCACGGCCTCTTATAGAAAATAACCAATTAATCAAATCCCTCTACGTAATATATGATTGGCAGCTCTGTAAAAAGCTATGCTGAATTAAATTGTCCTTATAAAATCATGCATTTGCATTACAGCAACCTTAGTTTGATTACGGTACCAACAAGATTAATTTTGTTTAGATATTGATCAATAAAAACACGAGTTTCCTTGACTTTAAACTTACTGTTGAGCTTGAATGCTTCCTTAGTCGCGTAGACCACGTAGGAGTTTATTCTCTCTTTATTTGAGCTCAGGTTTCGTTCGTTTTTACGCACGGGGATCTCAGCTGCAGCTGAAACGGCGTATTTTCTTTTCTTTGTGGCATTTGAATAGTTAGGCTTCCTATCCATCCTCTTCAAATTCAATCTATGTTTAGGGAAATTGCAGCTATTGAAAATAGATTGTGGCGCTTTTGGGGCGGCCAGATGCCTTCTATAATTGACAGTTTAAAATGACACTCTATTTTCATTTTCTCAGTGTTTAAACAATTTTAAATTTCTGGTAGTTTATCGCAGCCAATGGTTGCATTGGGCCATGGCGATGAGGTTAAGCGCTTAAGGAAAAAAAAAACAATCCACGTCTAAATTGGCTCATTAAAAAGAACAATATTTAAAATGTTTTCGAAATCTCTGATTATTTTTTGGACGGCTTGCATAAATCCATTTGGGTAGGTTTAATTCCCGGAAGAGAAACCAATGATTTGGCTTTGAGGCACTGCCATGAAATTTGTCTTGAAAGCGATTTTTCCAGGAGCTATATACTCTAAGTGGCCGAAAACCGGTTGATGAGTGAGAGCGTACAGCGCTCTCTTCGGGTTATGAACAAAGCGGATCGACACGATATATTATTCTATTATTGTGCTGTGTTTAAAATGTCTTTTAATACCGACTATTAAAAAAATAAACATATAACTTAGGGTTTTAGTTCAGTTTGACCTCTTAATGCATTTCATCCAAGTTCAGTATCAAACTAATTTTCAATAAAAACTCGCGTTCTAGGTTTATTCATTCATCGATCTTCCAACCGCTAACCCTATAGTAAGGGTCGCGAGGTGCTTGGTTTTTGACTGTGATCAACCTTAATTTACATATTTTTTTCCTATAATTGTTTATTCATCCACAAAATGATATAACGTTAATCATGTTGTTGAAACAACTTAAAGTCTATCGTTTTACTTTGTACTTTGTGGCTTTTTCAAAACACTAAACGTAGCTTGAAATACAAAGATGCAATTGGTTCACCGAGCTGTCACAGCGTCGTTTAAGAATCGCAGTCGTCTGTATCGCTTCGGTAAGCATTTCTCCAAGTACAGAACATCTGAGAGAAACGTTGCAGTCATCTGTAAACGGAAAGAAAATAAATGGATTTCCTATTGCTAAATGCCCCGCATTTCCTCAATACAGTCTAACTCGAATGGACAATACATAAGGTCGAATATGGAAAAAGAGGACACTGGCTCCTCGCCGAGTTCACCGTCAACACCATCCATATGGTCGCCTGCGTCATCCACCTCATCAGTGCTGTCCACTGGAAAGAACACGTGTGCGAATTGTGGGCTGGAGATCCTGGACAGATACCTGCTTCAGGTGAGGCTATGCGTTAACAACGCCGAATACTAAAAATAAAATCTTTTTCTGTCTCTCTCACGAATGTATTTCACTACGAGCATTTGGTAGGCTAATGTAAGCGTGTCATTTTTCAATTAAATCACTAAGAAATATTCAATTGAAATGGTAAGACGACAGAAGAAAATTACCGGATTAGTTAATATTTTATTTTGTAAATGAAATAAATTGATACGCTATTTTGGATACTGTTGATTATGGCAATCCGGGGCCTCCACATAACGCATTATTGGCGTAGCTTCCGATTTCACGCGTTTCTCTGGTCATTCGATTAACGGAAAGAAATGTTACAAAATCAAAGCACATTAATTTTTTTAATAGCATATCAGCAAAATAACAGCAGTACTTCACATTATTTTGCTATTTCTATAGTTATTACATACAATGGAGAACGATGCAATATTTTATTCTAATGTTTTGGCTTTTTTGAACAGGTGAACAATTTGATCTGGCACGTGAGGTGTCTGGAGTGTTCGGTCTGCAGGACGTCGCTACGTCAGCACAACACCTGCTACGTCAAAAACAGAGAGATTTACTGTAAAATGGATTATTACAGGTAGGTAAGTTTTACATTTCTGCCATATTAAGCAATGTTTTCATTTCAGTGAAAATAAATCCACGGCCTAAAGTTGCAGCTTTGTGAGAGCTAAGGTTCCCGCTTTTTAATTGTATTACTCACAGAAAACACACTTACACGCCGCAGTGAATGAGTGGGCTCACGTATAAGTAATATTTAAGAATTTGTATGCAACGTATATTTGTTTTTAAATAAATATTACATTTAATCTATGAATAATTGCATTAGGTCTGTATTAAGTCACGTGCGTCGACATGGCCAAAACCAATATTACAGTGTTCAGAAAACCGAACATAAAGAACAAAACTAAACTTTTTGCATTTGTTATACAAGAAGTAAATGTCCAAAAGACATGTGAATAATTCATAAAATAATATTAGAATTATATAAGAACTGTAGCCTATATAGGCCTAGGAATATACAAGTATTGTGTTTGACTGTTAGGCAGGATTGAAGTGATATCTGCCTTGACAAGTAGCGCAGGAGAGTTTGAAATGGGAGGGGCACAACTTAATAATTTAAATACAAAAGTCTATTTATTGGTTGGATGGTTTATGGGCAAATTAAATATTGAGAGACACACGTTCCCCCAGCAGGGGCGTCGGAGGGACATGGATACCCTTACAGATTCGGGGAGCCAAGCACTTTACAAGCCCTTAAACACGTAAATTTATAAAATTATGTAATGTAAGGGCGGGGGCAAGAAGCCCCAAGGTGACATTTTGTCTGGGACTACAGAATATCTAGCTACCTTCCCGTTCCTACGCCACTGGCCTTCACCCATTAGGCGAATCAATTAGGCATGTAAGCTAAGCGACTGGTCGATTAAAAATGATTCTTTGAGTAAAAAATAGGTTCAAAGGAATTAGTGCGTCCTCCTAATCCTAAATTGCAGCGCCTATACTGGCGCTCCTGCCAGAGTGTGATAGACAGCGATGCTTCCTCTTGATGTTTTTTGACGTAAAACTGAATGCATGGCTTGTTTCCGGGTGGATCGCGAAACGCTCCGTTTTGGTAGATTGTAGCCAGTGACGGTACTCACCTTGTTATTCACTAGGCCTACCGGTAGATTATGAGAGATTTGTCAAGTTTGGAGATGCAAATAGGCCGAAAATAAATATTAGACGCACGCTAGTTTGTAAAATATGACAAATATGTATGCAGTTATAAAGGTGATGTAGCCTAGCAATTTATGACTATAAAATTGAATGCCTTATAAAAATGATTGCTATTCAAGTATATATTTTAAGTAGCCTGAAGTATGTGAATGGACGATTTAAAAATTTTGCTAAATTTTATTTCACTTTTCTAAAATTGAGGAATCTGCCATCACACATCTGCAGGAATACGTAAAACGCACTTGTAACCAGTTAGGAGGATAAATAAATAAACCGTAACACTAGTACTACGTAGCCTACCGGCCCAGTGCAATCACTGACTGTAGCGTATAAACTTGTTTGGACTATGCAGATGATTGTATTATTATAGTTACGGAGAATAAACCCCAATTGTGCCCAGAAGCTAGTTTAATATAAGTGAAATAAGTAAATAAACGTAACATCCTTTGTTTACACCATATATAATATATATGCTTGTCTATACCATATATAATTTAAATGATACAGCGTGTTCAAAATAACTTACATAGCCGGTGCAGACATTGCCCGTGTCTTAATTAGATGTGGAAATCTTTTTAAATGCTCTTCTCTAATTATTTTATACATGTATATGTGTGTGTGTGTAGGCCTATATATGTAATTGACATCTGAAATAGCCGTACGTAAGCTGGTTTACTTTTCATAAATTGTTGATTTCAGTAGACGCTGAATGGTACCAGTAACACCAACACAAGATAGTTTACAAAATTAAATAATGTTTTTTTATGACGTTTTAATTTAATTATATATAAATGTAGTATGTTCGCTATAGCCCTATAGATCATATTTTACAAAACTAAGAAATATTGTGATAACCACAACATAGTCTGTAATTTAAATTCTACTTTATATCAAAGTGTATTCTATTTTAATGTACACCATAATCTTATATTAAAACGTTAAACAACATCGTAATTTTTTGTGTGTACGTTTTTTTTTTCATGTATAAGATTAATGAAAGTATAAATTTAAATCAATGGTATTCTAATATGTGAATAGAACATAAATTTGAAAGATAAAATCACTGACCTTGTAATACCTGAAATGTTTTTTTTTTGCTGTTTATATTATCCGTACTGATCCAGCTTATATATAATGTAATGTATCTATATATAAGGCAATGTATTTATATATAATGTAATGTATTCTAAACCTTATAGTTGTATATAAAGTAATGATCTTAAATATGAACACAAGAAACAGCAAATACCAAACATTTTTTTTATCAAAATGAAAAATGTATTTAACCAAAATGAAAAGGAAATATTAGCATCCTTAAAACATAATGTTCTTTTAGAAATGAAAACTTGTTTGCTTTGATTTAAATTTCTAAAGTGTAATTTTAAATACATTCTTCTCTACATAATTTTAACACTGAATAAATAATGTATTTACGAAAGGTTTATAAACAGTTTACCAAAAAATATTCTATATGAATAACAGGAAACAGCATTATTGCATTCATATTAGTAGTATGTAAATAATAAACAATTATTTATCTTTTTCTATTATTATTCAACAATTATTCAAGTATTATAAATGTTTTATGAGATTTTGTTTCTGGAGAAATCAAAGACAAAATGTAATTTATATGTACCAAAATTTTCTGATGTGAGTTACATAATATTTCAGGAAATTTAACTAATTTAATTTAACTTAGGCCTATATTACAAATAGTATAACAGGTATAGTAATTTATATTAAGTGATGGTAAAGAGGGAGCAGATGATGGCGGTAAAGGAGACCCAGGATGGAGAACGTACCTGGTCGCACACGGCAGAATGGGCTTCTTCTTCTTCTTCTTAAAAATAATAATATAAATTGGCTAGTAGACGCCCATAGTACCTGAAATGCACCAAGACACGGAGGTTCGAGTCCCATGACCAGCATCAGCTACATAACGACATATACTCATTGTTGTAGGGTGTAGATCTGGTTATGGAGAGTAAGGATATCTCCTCACTGATGTTGTGGGAGTACTGTGTGTTTCGGAGGGTGAGGGGGGTTAGGGGTGTTTTGGTCTCTACCGATGTTGTGGGAGTACTGTGTGTTTCGGAGGGTGAGGGGGGTTAGGGGTGTTTTGGTCTCTACCGATGT